GGAAAAGTGGGGGGCGTCTTGTACATGGGGCCGTCTTATAGTCGGAAAAATACGGTAATCAGATTTCTTTTTTCTTCCTAGCATTTTTCCCGCAGATGCAGGGTCCACTTTTTCGGATCAGTCAAATGTTGATCTGTTGGTTGCAACAGGAATTTACCTTCTGCTCATGAAAGTTTAGTTTGAAATTCTCCAGGAGTATATTCTGATAAGAAATCTCACAAGAAAAAAAAAATGTCTTATAGGGTGCAGCATATAATATGCCCAGAGTTGCAGCAAACCTATTTATATCTCCTATATTGTGCAAGAAATATGGGTTGGATGTCATGCTTCTAAACTTTCTCCCTCTAGATAGATTTCAGTCTTGGGCTACCAGTCAGATCCTCTGCTTTGGGCCTGACTCTTTAATCTTAGTCTGTCTAGAATTTTAAATTTTTAATCTATAAACCTGTGAAGCTGAACCTCAACATTGGTCCTTCCATTGCAGGACAACAATGCTTTTACTGTGGCTCTCCAAAATCACTAATAGAGATTATAAGAATAAAAAAGAGGCCTCCAGAACTTGGCCAAAATGCCCATTCTTATTTAGCAATTTGTTTCCAGCACTGACAAAGTAAATACCTTCATGGATATATGTCCATGAAGTCCCAGGAGTCAAGCTTGGCCTGACAGAGACATTATCTTATTTATCAACTGGAAACAACCCATTGCCTGATGTTTGTCTTCTAAGTACTATTCAAAAACATATATCTCTGCCCAGAGTCATCATGAGTTGGGCAGCCATGAAAGTCAAATAAAAAATAAAATCTCTATGCATCGAAGCTGTATTTATCTACCGGAGCCAAGAAATCTATCTGTAGCTTTTCCCGCTTCCATTGTCTGAATTCCTTCTTGGTAGGAGTTTGTCATATAAATCTCCCCACCCTATATTACACAGCTCCTGTTGATCTGCACTGTTTCTGTCTCACCATAGTTTCCTAACTGTTTATGTGAATTAACTTACTGAATACCTACAGAAGGTAAAACCAACTCAGAGGCAAGTAATCTGTGTTCCTGTCATCACAAATCTTCCATTTCTAAAACGTTAACCAGCCTCTAGTTTACGATTTGCACATTTCTCCCATCTGCAACACTCCAGTAACTCCAGTATGTTGACAGAAGCCTAACAACTGATAAAAAAATTACACAGCACCCAGCAAATGCAAGAAAATCTAAGCACTTATCCCTTATGGAAAGACAAAGCTGAAAAACTGTTACCGGAGGAAGAGTTTTATTCACTTGAGGCTCATCTCTCAGATGTGTTGCTTCTAAGAGGAATTTAACAGTACTGATGCTAAATCCATCAATTCCTTTGCCAAGCCAAAACTGAATAATATCCTAAATAAAAAGCAAAAGAATGAATGGGTGGGCTTGCTTACTTCCACATTGTCATGCTTACAACAAGAACATTTCTCACTATGTTCTAAAGATCCAATGTTGCAATTATGAACTTTCATTTGTGTTCTTGTTCTTTTCTTAAATTCAGGGAACAAGCCTCAGTGCTTCTTGGCACATTTTGTACAGCATTCTGTTATGCCCACTATGCTGAGCTGAGACTTATGAACATCGATTTCACAGGCTTTTTGTCTGCATGTCAAGTCAGTGTTGGCTCCTGACTACTTCCTGGAGAAGCCCGTGTAGTTTTCTTGACAAGATTTTCAAAAATGGGTTGTCATTGCTTTCTTCCTAGGGATTAGAGAGAGTGACTGGCCCAAAGTCACCCAGCTGGCTTCATGCCTAAGGCAGGACTAGAACTCACAGTCTCCCAACTGCCTTTAAGCACTATGCAAAAATGGCTTTTATTTCACTGATTTTTTCCCTTCTAATTTTAAACTCTATTCCACCAGAAAAGTACTTGTGAAACTAGCTTTTCTGGAATATACTACTTTAGGTTGCAAGGAAGAGATTTCTACTTTTTGAAAATTAGTACCAAAACAGATACTTTATAATGAGTGGGAACACACAGAAAGTACCTGTCTTTGAATCAATACCCCTGCTGGATTAGACCTAGGCCCATCATAGCCGAGCATTTTGTTTCTCACAGTGACCAACCAAATTATTCAGGGCTGATTGCAAGCAGGAGATGGAGACATACCTGTCTCTCATCACTGTCCCTCTACCCTGGTATTTAGAGGCATGCTGTCCCACCCTGAAAGTGGTCATTTCTTTTTCCAGGCACATGCAATAGCACATGATCCTATTGGATTGGATGCCTTCAGAGAACATCTTGGCCCCTGAGCAGGCCAGATTCAGGTCTTGTATATTCAACGATGGGCCAATTTATAATTTATCAACATCCAGCAGAGAAATACTCTAGTCTACCAAAAGGTGCCCTTTATGTTGTTTTCATTGATTTCCTGGAGGAAACTAGCTGCCACATTGACTGATTATTGTCTCCATAAACTAATAATAGCACTGCATCATGGCACCACCACTGCTCAAGTAAAGGACAATCTCAGTGGCAATTTAACTGAACCTATCTCCACTCAAAAGGGCATTAAACAAGGTTGTATTTTTGCCCCACTATTGTTTAATTTATATATTGATGACATAACTGAGGTTTTTGCTAAGCCAGAATTTCATTCCCCTCTCTCTCTCTCTCTTCTTTCCCATCACCTCATCTCTATTCTCTGTGTATGCTGATGATGCAGCCTTTCTATCTGTAACTCATAAGGTTTTAGTATTCTCAAGAAAGTGCTTTAAATCTCCAATTAATGGGAGAATTATTGAGCCTTTAAGCATCTATGTGTTCATTTTCAATCTTCTACTACTGGATTAATTAGGCAAGTGATCTTAACACAAGAGCTCAAAAAGCGTCCCTTGAGATTATCAGATACACAAGTCAACATGACAACAACTATGTCCTAGCAGCAATTAAATAGTTTAAAGCTAAAGTTCTGAGTTTGATGCTATATGGTATGCTTACTTGTGCATCTACAAAGGAATCTCTGGATTTGAAAACACCCAATTAAAATTCCTAAAAACTATCAGATATGTCCCTCATTCAATTCTTAATGTTCTCATATGGCTAGAACTAGGCTGCATCTCCTTTGGGTCTTGCTTGAGACTTTGTCACCTTAGCTTCTGGTCAAAGAAGATCCTTTGGAGAACTTCCTTGATCCATCTTACCTTGTGGAGTTCATGGTGCTCTCTGAGCTTGGTTGTTTGCTTGCAGATGTTTCATTACCCGATGACTTGCACCAATGATGTTACCTAGTTGGGTAATGAAATGTCTGCAAGCAAACAACCTAGCTCAGAGAGCACCAAGGACTCCACAGTTCAACCCTGAGCTACAGATATTCTCTTCTATTGGAACCATCTTACTTGGTTAGATAGGTTCTTTTTTTCCCCTAAGGAAAAATATAAATTATGATTTCTCATAATGTGGCTGTTTGGTCCTGGCAATATTCATTCTTCGCCTCAATAAAACCATGGCCAAATTAAAGCAGAGGATTTGGGACCAAGATATCCAATATGATAGAGCCAGTGTTTCCCATCTCTGCTACAGTGCAATTTCGCCCTCCTCCTGGATTATCCATACACACACACACACACACACTTAACATTTTACATGTTGCACATAGGAGATTTTTCTCTCTGGCTCAAAGTGATGCACTACCCATTCAGGTGACAACAAGCAAATATACCAGCTTCTCTTATGAAAATCACACCTGGGTATGCTCTGATACAGAGGTTGAAAGTATATCACGTACTGCTAGAATGCCCACTCTACACTCAATGGCGAATGGATCTCATATTTTCAGTTGTCAGAAAACTTAGTTGCTCTTGTGATCATGAGATGACCACTTGTTTGCAACCAATTTCCAGATACCTCTAAGAAGGTTGCAACATTTTTATCCATAGCTATGGCTTATAGAAGTCATTTAGTGCCTCCTTCATAAAATGAACTGTTTCTGGCTTATCTTGTAACTTTTCATTTTTATTCCTTTAATGCATGTGTGTATGTAATTACTGGAGTGGATTTATTTTTATGTTGTTCACCACCCAGAAGTTCATTGGATAAATAGGTGGTCATATAAATTTGATTAATAAATAAAATCAAGCATTATAAAAAATAAAAACAAACATTTCTAGAATCCTACTTACTAGGCAGTGACTAGTAATGAGTCTATTGAGGATGGGAAGATCAGAGTTTTAGAAGGGTCTTCATCTGCCTTTCTTCCCGCCCTTCCAAATTGTACTGTTTCATGGGAAGCCATCTAAAAATCTTAACAATAGAAATACTATTGATACTTACATGCATTTCTTCCTGAACATTTGGATTACGAAAATTTAAATCTGGATGTTCTTTTCCAAACTGATGAAAATAACATTGGTTCCTCGCAATATCATACTGCCAACTGGAATATCCCAATACGCTCACCTGATTGCATAAGAAATACAATATAATTTTATTCCCATTAAACACTGAATAACCAAGTATAAAAAGAATGGATTTGCTTTTCTTTAAACAGTCATGTTTACAGCAAACATATTTCATACAGTAATCAAAAGAGCTACATCAGAAGCTGATGTTTGTTGGCTCATAAAAAATACATCATCTCTTTTTTATTGTGTATAGAACTGATTACCACAGAATAAGCATAGTTAAAATTATAAAAACTGACACTTGATTTTCAGCCTTTGTATTATAGCCATTTACGATGAATATATATACATATACATATACATATACATATACATATATATATATATATATATATATATTCATGTTTCAATGTGTTAATTATGCTTACACCTTACTGATTTTACTGTGAGGATAAGAAAAGTCACAACAAGCAATATCATCATGTGGAGTATTGGCCATCTTTCTTCTTGTAATAGTGATGGATTTTGAATTGGGAAAGTTGGGGATATAGTCTGGAAGTTGTATTATTTTTTTACCTAGGAGTACCAATAATCCCTTCAAACTCATCTACTTCTAACAAACTTATTCCATGTCACCAGGCAATTTTTCCCATGTCAGACATATTTCAAACTCAAGTCTAGGACTGGCTTTGCCCTCCTGCTCCTGGACATGCCTCCTGATTTAACACAGAGGCAAAGGAAATGCAAGATCCCATGTCCCATGGGAGGGAATTATATCAGGAACTTCACTTGCCATATACCCCTCCATTTCTCAAGGATGTTTGGTTTGACTTGAAAGGCAAGTGAAGGAATTGGCAATGAATGGCAAGCTTTCTCAGAAATATTAGACTCTGTTTTTTTAAAAAATCAGCTTTGTATGGGGAGACTAACAAAAGAAAATGAAGCTTATGATTTCAAGGCATAAAGATACATGAGGGAAATGGACAGCTCCCTGTTACACAAGGTCTTCCTCCTTTTTGTTAAAGGATAAACATAAGAGCACCCAATTCTTGCAAGACTCCCAGCACACATTTTGTGCCTCCTCAAAAGAAATAACCTCTTCCCAAACTGGACTTAAAAGTTTGGCTCACTCCATTTGGGGATATGGTCATATTCCTAGCTCTTAGGACCTTGTTATCTACAACTAGACAGACTAATGCAACTCTTGATTTCTGGTGATTCCTTTTCTATCTATCTACTATGTTCTCATGATGTATTTATCTTCCATGTGTATTTTGTATGAGTGGACAGAGGAATTGCTCCTGCTCCAAGTTTTTTAGTAAGAATTATGCACACCCTAACCCCACCTCCAACATTCACGTGATAGAGGAACATCTTGTTAGAAATCATACCTGTGTACAATTATTCACATATAAACTCCCTATTTCACTGAGAATCCAGAACATGCAAGATACCTAACAGAGTGCAATGTCTAGGCACTAATTGACGTATGTGTATACTTCAATTGTCTTCCTACCGCTTTGCTGAATTCAAAGGTACCTACAGGAAGTGGGCTGCTATGCCTCCTAATGATTTGCCATTTTTCCTCCTCTTTGATTCGTTTACATCATAATTGCTTTAATTTTATTATAATGTTGGTCATTATGTCATACTAATGGGAAAGGCGATACATAAATTTATTTATTTATTTATTTATTTATTTATTAAACTTGTCCCTGCCCATCTCCCCCCAATGGGGACTCTGGGCAGCCCACAACATATTAAAACAATAAATAGATATACAGTTAAAATCTATAACAATACATGTTTACAGAAATTATTAATAAATAACTATAAAGAAACAAATGACGTGGTTAAGTGTGCTTAAATGTTAAGAAGAAGGAGAAGAGGCTCACACTGAGTTAAGCACAGGTAACTTTTTCTGGCTCAAGATAAATGACTATCATGAAAATTTTTAAAAGCAAATAATGGCCAAAATGGAAACCACAGAACAACATCAGGAAAATGAAATGAATTCATCCATGGGTCTAAACAGTTCTACAAAAAACAAATGTTGTAGATTTATAACGGCCGAAACTGCAAGGTGTGCTCTGACATAAAACAAATAAAAGAGAATATTATAGCAAAATGGAACAATGCTTTCCAAAACTGTCACTCCTTAACTTTCCCATTCTCAGAGAAAAAATGGAAAAGAGAATTTTCATTCTAGTAAAACCAGTTTCTGACATATTGGCATTCTAGAAAGCAAAAGGGATGATTTAACAATTGGTTGATTTGTTTTCTTCTGATGTCATGGCTGGCAGGGAGAGGAGAGAGCTGTGATGAGAAGGCACCCAGGCTGGGATATCCACAGATGAAGGGGCATCACACAAAGAACTAGTCATGAGACATGGGTTGTCGCCTGCTAACTGGTTTGCACAGAGACAGGAGAAACATAAGCAAGAAGGGCACACTGAAAGCATTAAGAGCAAGCAAAGTAAGAAAAATAACAACACTAATGCTTCACTAAGCAAACCACTTAGCAACTGTATGCATTTTTTGAAAGGTAAATTACTTCAAAAGAAGCTGAACTCTGCATTTTTCTTCTTTGGAAAATTTGTACACCAATGCTTGCAATGACTTAAAATGTCACTGCAGATGTGTCTTCTGAAAAGCCATTCCATCTGGCTTACTTATATTACACAGCAGCGCACTCTTTGCCTACAACTGTGTATGAACTTCTCTAGCAGGAAGAATTAAAGTTACTTACTTCTGACCTTAATGATTGGACAACTAACTGACAATGCATTCCATTGAAAATTGTAGACTTTTTCTCCAAATAATCATTTTCTTGGAGCAAGATGCAACTGTCTAATCTTTCATCATTGGCTAGTTCTATTTGCTATACAGTAAAGCAGTTATGCATTTTATCTATTTTAAAGATAATTAGTAGAAGTGTTTTTACTTCAACTGTGATTGAATTAGCAAAGCTACAGCAATATATAAAAGTTATTGCTGTAGTGCATATTTTTCCTGAATTCTTCCTTCCCGTAATTATGTCAAGTTTATTTATTAACAACTTAATCATGGCCATTATCCCCAGTGATCTTTTGTGTGTGGGTCACTTGACTCCTGGCAACCGCCTTGCCTGCAGTTTTCTTGGCAAGGTTTTTCAGAAGTGGTTTGCCATTGCCTGCTTCCTGGGGCTGAGAGAGAGTGACTAGCCCGAGGTCACCCAGCTGGCTTTGTGCCTAGGTGGAACTAGAACTCACAGACTCCCAGTTTCTAGCCTGGTACCTTTAACCACTACTGTACAGCAAACTGGCTCTCCTACTTCTGATGTTTGTTCATTTAAAATCATACCGCCCTGGTTTTCCTCAGAAACAGAGGTTCAAACTGAATTTGAAAAACCTGAAACAGAGGGCAAAGATACCCAGCTCATAAGACATGTATTTGAAGCAAATATTTGAACCCAACATATTGCCAACCCCAGATGTGTTACAGCACCTAAACATTACTGTGTATATGATTGCCAGGCTATCAAAACTTTGTACTCACCCAGTTATTTGGAGGAGTGGTGATCCCATTGACATGAGCACAATCATGCCAGATGTAATAATCTGTATATTTTCCAGTCCTATTCCGACTAAGCTGAAACCACTTGTGCTTGTCACTAGTATGATTAGGTATTAGGTCCATTATCACTTTTAAACCTTTCAATTCAAGATGCAAAGAATAGTATTTCAAATAGCCACGCAATATACACATGCTTTGCTTTTCAGAAAGAACTAAAGTATTTTAATTTTAAAAACATAGAAGCACAATAGCAAATGGAGTTCAGTAAACCCCTTATACAAGTGTATGGCAGAGATTACTGAACTAATCCATGTGAAGCACCTGAAGCTACTTGAGATTAGAAATAAGACTAAATGCTAAGTGATGCAAGTAAGAATTTTAAACATCCTCTCAAAAAGACTCGTTATGTTACTAGTCCTGGAGAGAACTGGGAGTAATTACCATTAATTCTAGTCGTTTAACATTTCAGTACAATAGACCATTCCTCCTTCCTTCTGGCTAAAAAAAACCGGGTCTTTTTAGTAGAGAGTTTTAGAATAGCAGAATATGGGGGCTACAGATTAAAAGAAAAAGAAAAAAAGCAATGGTGGAAATTGCAGATAATGACTCTTTATATCTGTAGGAACCTTTCCCACTCACATTATGGGCTTTCTGCATCCAACCCTCTATCACAGGTTATAGCATTGATCAAATCTTGGCTGATCTTGAAAAAGCTAAGCAGGGTTGAACCTAGTTAATATTTAAATGGGAGAAAATCCCTGGATATTGACTAAAACTGGGAAATCAGAAGAAGGCAAAAGTAAATCATTTTTGCCAAGAAAATTACATGGACCTGTTTATGTAGGTGCCAGCAGAATTTGAGCTTGACGTGAGAGAATCTTTACCTTCTAGGTTTTTTTAGGAGAAACAGCATGAAAACTTGCTCAAGTTGAACTTTGCCTATATATATATGTATATATGTATATATGTATATATGTATATATATATAAAGTCTCCTTTGAGTCAAACTCTACTCCTAGTGATTATATGAACACATCCATGAAGGTTTTTTGATAACATTATGGACATGGTTTGCTACTTTGAGGTAAAGCCTTCACTCCTAGTATTCCCTGATAGTCTTTCTTCCAAGTATTATTGGATCCAACCCAACTGAGTGTTTTTGAGATGAGGCAAGGTTAATCAAGTATAGCCACCTTTACATACAGTCACACTTAAAAGAATAGAAAATGGAACTTCTTAACAAAAAAGCCAACCTTTATCATGGATTGCCGCAACCAGATCTTCAAAATCCTTCATTGTTCCAAAGATTGGATCTATGTCTTGAAAATCCTCTATTCCATATCCAACGTCTTTTAAGGATGATTTATAAAAAGATGTGATCCAGACTGTTTTTACATTTAGATACTGGATATGATCTAGTTTTTCTTGGATACCTAATCAGAAAAAAAGTGGAACAATACCCTAAACATTTCAGTCTGCCCAAGTCAAAAAAATCTTCTAAAGAACTGAATCATCATTAGTAGGCAGAAGACTGGGGAAATCTGATACTCAAATTGTGTTCATGCTAAGCCATAGCTTACCTCACACTGAATAAACCACAATTGGTTGGTTACATTCACACATCAAACCACAAACAAGTAACCACATTTCAGCTTAATGTGTTGTATGAAGCCAGTATTGTTCTTATTACTCAATTATGAAAATCAAATTATAATAACATTGAACAGTACAATTTATTTTTGCCACCTTACTTTAGGATTGGTATAAAGGCAAAGGAGGAAGTGATTTGATATTTAAATCAATCTGATATTCAAATTAATACTATTAGTGTTACTGAAGCATGCTCTTGTTTGGGACTTCAGCTAGCCTGCCGTGTCCTTTTTCAGATGGGCACTTCCCATTTCCCAAACCTGCTTTGTGTGTCCTTCTGACGTCTGTTTAAAAAAATTCTGCCAATCTCCAAGCCTGCAGATCTTAATTCTTGGGCTAGATGAATATCAAGATCCACAAGCAAGAAAGGGGTTATTTGTTATATTTGCTATTCATATACATTATGCCGTATAATAATAAATACTGTGAAAAGGTATTTGTTTCTGCAGAAAAAAGCTTGTGCGAGAGGACTTTTTTGCCTCCTCCTTTCTACTTCACCTTGCAGAAGGGGTGTGGAGCCTCCCCGTAGCTAAATTTGCCTCCCAAAGTTACTCCTGAAGTCCTCTCCAACTCCACTCTTGAAATTGATTATGCAGTTACTGAAAATGAGCAATATGGTTTCCTTCATTTTGAGACCAGAAATACATAAACATTTAGCATAAACTGTAAAGTACTGTTAACACAGTTGCACGCACACCCCAAACAAGAACAAAGTAGAAAATCCAGCCAGTTGTTTTCCAGTAGAATCCAAGATAACAGATAGGTGTGAATTGCTGGTAACAAAATGTTGCCAAACCCAGCCTCAAGTGAGAGGAAGGGGAAACTAATGATCAGATAAACATCCTTGTGGAAAAGAGCTCTCTTCTTCCAGAGTAACTGTGTCTGATTTTGAGTGATTCCTACCTCTGAGGCACAGTCCATCTCATTCCATTGCCACCTTTCTGGAGTACAATGGACAAGAGGGCATGAAAAAGTCTATGATGAACTTCTGTTTGTGGTTCTCTAGATCCCATGTAATAAACAGAAAGAAGGGAGGAAGAAAGAAAGAAAATGAAATTGATATTGTCCTGAATTTGTTTGCAGATAAGAGAATGACCGATGACCACTCTCCACTGGCCAGCACTGGGCTCTGAGTTATGCTCTTGGGCTGTACAGTGATCCACCTCATGTGAATGAGCGGCAACTGTGGCTACAGGACCTGGCAGGAGGTCTTTTGGAACTTGATGAAATCTGTCCTTACCTGTTATCAAAATTATCTTCCAGAAAAACAAGTTGTTGCTCTGTGTTTTCAGAAATAACTGATGGAAAAAACATTAACAGATACTCTGCTCATAAAAAGCCTGATATTGTGAATTTTTTTCCTCGTTATGGAAGTGGGGTTTAAATTTTTTAAAAAAATCTTTTAATTTCAAAGAATAGTAGCTAAGGATATTTCTAAGGAGCAAGAAGGGGAAAAATAATTTCAAAGTCAACTTCATCTTTTCCCCCCTTCAATAAATTGCTTTTGTGTTTATGTCTGCTTTTTCCTCTTGTTTTCTTCCAGTTTCCAAACTGTCCTTTTACTTTTCTTTAATCAGAACTGCTCTGCTTTCTCCAGAAACTGATATAAATGATTGTATGCTCTGATGATTGAATCGCTGGATTACTAGCTTCTAGGTCATTTGACATACCAGAAATATACTGTAGCTTCTCTGCTTAAAGCATTTTCTGACTAAAGAATAGAGAGAATATTTTTTTGAAAATATTTTGAAAATAAGTCAGAGGAAGTGCTTCAGACCACATCCAAGCAGTAGCGTAACAATTCTCTGTTATTAATTAAAGCAGCCACATCTATTTTCAGGTTTTCATGTGTGTCTGAAAAAGGATGCTACTGGTTTAAAGAGTGGATTCATTGAAGCAGCTCTTCAAGTAGTGGCATCTTTACTCAAGCTCATGCAGAAGTCAGGAAAAAGGCACAGTTTCTTTAGTGAATAGCAGAGAGATATATCCCTCTCCTACCTGTAGGGCTAACATTAACACCCAACTTGATTACTATTCAGCTATAGTAATAATTTTAAATTTTGCATCCATTCAGGTAAATGTTATGCACTTCTATTTTTTTTTTTTTTTTGGTCTGATTCAGATTAAGGCAGTTTCTTGCATGGAGGCATTTTAAAGACAATGTGAAAGAAAATTAACATAAATAAAATATCTCTCTCTTCCAAATAAAAAATATTTTGTTTTCTGGTTTCCTGAAGACTTTTATTCCTGGTTTCCTGATTTTTATTCCTCAGAGGTGATCAAATAAATTGACACTTTCTAGCCTAGATTAGCTGTATCTTAAACTGAATGTATGTCCTGAGATTTAAAAAATAAATAATCGCTGTTCTAGAAAGAAAGTTGGGATGTAAATGGAATAAAAGGATAATAATAATTTGGAAGCATAAAGGCAGGAAAAATTAACAGTGCACTTAAAGTATTTAGGAAGGTAAAATACTAAATTGAACCAAACCTTGGATGAACATGCTACTCTGCTTCTTTTTATGGGCTGATATCAATTAGATACTTAGCACTCCATAGGAAGTTATCTAAGAAGAATCATTTGTATAAAATACTATCTTTAAATAGCTATGTGGGTATCGCAGTATAGGCCCACATAGCTATTTAAAGAATCCACTCTTTAAACCAGTAGCATCCTTTTTCAGACACATATGAAAACCTGAAAATAGATGTGGCTGCTTTAATTAATAACAGAGAATTGTTACGCTACTGCTTGGATATGCAACAGAAACACAGATGATCTCTGGCGGGAGTGGGATAGAGGTGGTGCATCCATCCTGGCTCTCCTTGACCTCTCAGCGGCTTTCGATACCATCAACCATGGTATCCCTCTGGACCAACTCAGGGAGTTGGGGGTGGGCAGCGTAGTTTTGCATTGGTTCACCTCCTTCCTCCAGGGCCGATCCCAGTCAGTGTTGATAGGGGAGGAGAGATCGGCCCCGCATCCCCTCCTTTATGGGGTGCCGCAGGGTTCGGTACTCTCTCCTCTCCTTTTTAACGTCTACATGAAACCGCTGGGTGAGATCATCCGTCTCCACGGGATGAGGTATCAGCAATATGCCAATGATACTCAGTTATACATCTCCATCCCGGGGGAAGTAAGTGATGCTGTGGCTGTCCTTTCCAGGTGCCTGGAAGCTGTGGGGGTCTGGATGGGGAACAACAGGCTTCAGCTGAACCTTGGCAAGATGGAGTGGCTGTGCGTTAATGGCCACTCGCTCCCTAGGAATTTGCCATCTTTGGTTCTGGATGGGGTTGCACTGCCCCAGACAGACCCGGTGCGTAACTCGGGGGTCCTCTTGGACTCACGACTCCTGCTCAAAGAGCAGGTGGCAGTCATGGCCAGGAGGGCCTTTGCGCAACTTCGTGTTGTCCACCAGT